TCTCCGAGAAGGAATGAACAAACACTCAAACTATCTTACCCATTACCAAGATAGCTTCCCCAATTATCACCTCTAATACCATTAGCTTACAGACATCCCACTCTCCCCACCTCTAATATCATCAATTCAGAGACACTTACCTTCCTTCCTTCCCCCCCCACTGCATCCCCCTCCTGTTCTGAAATGTGATTTGTCCTTTTCATATGTGTTCATTTTTTTTAATTGTATCCTTTGGTATATATGGTTGTGACTATTTTCTTCCACTATTTGATCTGAGGAAGTGAGTCTGGCCCACGAAAGCTCATCATCTAATAAACCATCTTGTTAGTCTTTAAAATGCTACATTGTCCTGCATTTTGCATCTCAGTGTCTCTGCTCAGCCGGCGAGGACAATACTGCCTTGCTCCGCTTTAGTGTGGCAGATTGAGACAGGGCGTTTACATAAAACTGGCCAGGCCAAGTCAGATTAAAGGTCCAGCCGCCTGTCGTCTGACACTGGCTCGTGCCAGATGCCTCCGAGGAAATGAACAGAACGGGGTAATCAACAGGGTTGTGTCCCTGGCATCTTAGCAAATAGCCATTGCTGGACCTATCCTCCACGAACATCCCTGGTTACACGTATGGCCTTCCCCGCCTCCTCTGGCAATGCGTTCAACATGCTGACTGCATGTTGTGTGTAGAAGTACTTCCTTATGGTTGCTTTAAACCTGCTGCCTATTCATTTCATTGTGTGACCCCTGGTTCTTGTGTTATGGGAAGGAGTAAATGACACTTCCTTACTCAATTTCGCAACACCATTCACTATTGTTTAGACCTCTATCATATTCCCTGTCATACACACCCCGCACCCCTGTTTAGACATCTCTCTCTTTTTTTTTTAAGCTAAATAGTTCCAAGGTTTTTTAACCTCTCCTCATCTGGAAGATGTTCTGATCCCCCTTATAGGGCCCTGAACTTAGCTTAACTACACTTGTGCTTAGAGTTCCTGAAGCTAATAGTATGAGTCTTACCTATAATAGCCCATTGTATACCGTTTTCTCTTTTGTTACAGGGAGAGACTTCTTGACTGAAATAATAGGTCACCCCACAGCATACCCATTGCAGCAATAGGTCCCCAGCATCTCCGGCAGGTAAGAGACAGCAGAGTGCCTAAAAGGAATGAAAGATGGGCGGGATCTGCCAGGAAGGCTGCCTCTGGGAAACCAATGTGAGAGCTGCCAAAAGCCATGTAAAGTGGGGTCCTGCAAAGGAAATGAAAAGCAACAGTGAAAGGTTCTGTAGCCATATAAAAAAGAAAAGAAAACAAGGAAAAGTAAAAACCGCAAGGAAAGAAATGGTGCTACTAAGTTCTGAGGATGGGTTGGATATCAAAGAAAATCTAGACCCTGCCCCAACACCTAACCAAATACTTAGGCTCAATTTTAATTAGCATCATGAGGAACCTGGGGACAAAGGCTGGGTGGCTAATGGCAACAAGGATATGGAAGCAGAAATGACCACACCTGCAGCAGAAGTCACACTCAAACAGTTTAATGGGACCAAGTCCAGAGGCCTAGGAAATCTCCATCCAAGAATATTAGAGAAACTGGCTCATGAAGCAATAAGCCCAATAACTCAGATTTGTAAGGAATTGGTAAATTCTGGAGGTTCATGCCCTCTAGCTGGAGAATTGTTGCCATTGTAGCTATTTTTAAGAAAGGGGAAGGCAAGTGGTCTAGGAAACAACAGGCCGTTAGTTTGACCTCAGTTGTATGCAAGTTCTCAGAGCACATTTTTAAACAGAGAGTCGTTAAGGACATAGAGGTAAATGGTAACTCGGATACAATACAACATGGTTTTACAAAGGGCGAATCATGCCAGACCTGAGAAGACAGCTGATTTCTAGACAAAGGAATTGCAGTAAAGCTCATCTCCAGGAGCGGCCCATGAGCTTAGGCAAACTAGGCGGTTGCCTAGGGCACCGCCGGCGCGGGCGCCCAATGATGACGTCACGGGGTGCCCCGTGATTACATCACGGCCATTGACGGCCGTGCAGGCGGGGGCGCCAATCGCGCCTTCCGCCTGGGGCACCAGCTACCACAGCCGGCCTTGGGCCGCTCCTGCTCATCTACCTGGACGTCAGTAAGTCACGTGACACAGTTCCACATGGGGAATCATTAGTTAAATTGCAGAAGAGGGGAAATAATACAAAACAGTGGGTATGGGACTGGGTGAAGGGGAAACTATAATGGGTCATTCTGAAAGGTGGCCTGTCCAACTGGAGGGAGGTTACTACAGGTTGAACCTTTCTAGTCTGGCACCATCAGGACCTGGCCGGTGCCGAACCAGAGAAATTGCCGGACCAGAGGAGGTCAATAGTGTCTAGCAGCATTGCCAACGCTTCCACTGCTCACTGGGCTCTTAGAAGACATTGAGAGTAAATTAGAGCTAAATCACAGCACACAACCCTGAGAGCCAGGACTGGCAGCTGTGAACAAACTTTACGGGGCTACAGGAAACTTGGCCACACTCATGCTAGGTGGCTAACTCAAATCCTGCTGGATCATGGATGTTGTCAGAGCAGTGAGTGCCGGCCTAGAGAGGTTCAACCTGCAGTGGAGTTCCTCAGTGATCAGGCTAACATTTTTATTAATGGCCTTGGCAGAAAAAGTGGGAGTGTGCTAATAAAAGCTGACACAGTTGGGAGGCATTGCCAGTACAAAGGAGGACTCAAATATCATACAAGAAGATCTGGAGGGCTTTAGAAACTGGAGTAATGGAAATGGGGCACAATTCAATAGTGCAAGATCATGCTTCTAGGGACTAACAAGAAGAATTTTTGTTCCAAGTTGGTATCAGTTGGGCATGCCACAGGAAAAGATCTGGGTATGTTGGTCAGTCACAAGGGGATTTTAACCTGCCAATGTGCTGTGGCTAAGGTGAGCCTCGGATAGGGGAGGTGTTTCCGGGAGAGAATGAGAAGTGCTGTTGTCATTACTCCTGGCTATAGTGAGACGTTCTCTGATGCCCGGTGTGTGGTTCTGGTCTCCCGTGCTTAAGAACGAGGAATACAGTCTTGATCAGTTGCAGAGAAGGGCTCGTGGAAGTGGAGTCTCTCCCTTATGAAAGGAGACTGGGAGAACTTGGCTCGTAGAGCCTAACCAGACGATGGCAGAGGGGATAAGATTGCTCTCTGTAAATATCTGAGAGACATCCATACCAGTGAGCGAGAGGCACTATTTAAACACCAGTGTGACCCCAAGAACGCAGAGCTGTAGCCTGGCCCTCCATCAATGTAATCTTGAAATTAGACGAAGGTTTCTAACCGCCGCCCACAGGGAGAAGTGGAGCCAAAAAGCTAAGTGGCTTTGCGACAGAGCTTGACAGAAGGGGATGTGACATGACAGGAAGCCATATAATTGCACGTCACTGCTACGCATCTACTAGTAGCAAATATCTCCAGCAAATAGCCAGTAGTGGGATACTCGACGGGGAGGGCTCAGAATTAATAGAGAATCCTTTTCCGGGTATCTGGCTTGTGGGCCTTGCCCATGTGCTCAGGGTCTAACTGATCATTATATTGATGGTCAGGAAGGAATTTTCTGCTGGGTTGGATGCTGGGCCGACCTGAGCTCTTTTGGTGGCCCAGGCCCCAGGTGGGCGGCGCCGCCCCGGGCACATGGTACATGCGTGGGGCCGCCCCCAGGGTGTGTGGGCCTGCCTCTGGGCACACGGCGCATGCGCGAGCCTGCCCCCAGGGCGGGCACATGGTGCATGCGCTGCCCAGCCACCACCGCTGGCGCACAGCCTGGGGCCACCTGGGCGGACCACGCCTGGGCGTGCATGGCCCCCTGGCCGCAGGGGAAAGGGCACTGAGGGGTTAACGCGGCCCCCCACCCCGGTCTCTGAGTCTAACTGTAAGCTGCCCTTGGATGGAAAGGACAGCACACACATTCATGCAATGGCAAACTCTGGGGTTAAAGGACCACGCCTGGCCGTGCAGGGCCCCGCGGCTGTGGGAGGAAGGGCACTGAGGGGTTAACGCGGCCCCCCACCCCGGTCTCTGAGTCTAACTGTAAGCTGCCCTTGGATGGAAAGGACAGCACACACATTCATGCAATGGCAAACTCTGGGGTTAAATTGCATGGCAAACGAATGCGCGCCAAGAATGAATTGATTAGCCAAATAAAATAGGCCGTGCAGGGCCCCGCGGCTGTGGGAGGAAGGGCACTGAGGGGTTAACGCGGCCCCCCACCCCGGTCTCTGAGTCTAACTGTAAGCTGCCCTTGGATGGAAAGGACAGCACACACATTCATGCAATGGCAAACTCTGGGGTTAAATTGCATGGCAAACGAATGCGCGCCAAGAATGAATTGATTAGCCAAATAAAATACCAATGGCCGGCAGGGAGACAATCGGGACAAACTGAACCATGTTTCCGCATTTGCATTCTTTCACCTTCTGTGCTGGAAGCCAGGAGACATTGTCCCTCGCGTGCGGCCAAGGACAGGGACTAAAATCCTTTTCCTTTCTCCTTGAAATCTGCACGCCTGCTGCCTGCTTCCCGCCCCGAGGGGGAGAAATAGTTCCCGTGAAATTGGTGTGGAGCGGGGACGTCTGGAGTTGGAATCATTCCTTCGCTGGGCTCAGAAAGGAAAAGCCTTGGGGCAGATTTTGAAAACAAAATTGCCTGCCAGTCTCTCCCCCCCGTATAGCTCCCAGGGGTTTTCCTCACTTGGTCTGCTTTAGTACTTAAGGGAGCTTTTCCTTGGCTGCCTTCGATGGGCCTCCAGGGCGAGCAAAATAATTGGCCTAGTCAAATGCCAGAGCAGAAGGAGAAATTGATTTCTGGGGTGCAGCTCTGGTTGGACATGGGCTAGGCTGCCACTCTTCCGTCTGGAGTTCTGCCTCTCTCGGCGTCCTTGAACGCTTCCTTGGCCCCTCTGGCGTGGCACTCGGGTTACTAGCAGGGGGCAATTCCAGTCCCCTCCTGTGGTGCTCCTGTGGTGCCCACGCCTCTCGTCCCGGGAGCCGGGTGGGCTCAGGCTTTGAAGGGAGGGGCGGGGACTAAAGCTAAGGCAGGTTGGCACCTAAATCCACATCCAGGCCTCTAAGTAAGTGGCTTTCCAGGGAGACAGCTGGGGCCCAGCGTCAGGCCATCAAAAGACTGTTCACAGGCAAGTGGTCAAGAGGGGCCCGGCGGCCAGCTGGTCTGGCGCACGGCAGAAGGCATGAAATCACTTAATGGGAGAAGAGCAAGCGCTCAGAGAGGGGCAGCCCCAGCACACAGGCCTTGCATAGAGGGACACGAGCTGAGAGCCCTCTGGATACGCTCCGTTCAACACATGTCCCGCCTCTGCTCTGACAGTCTCTATTAGTGGCCAGTATTTATCCTATGGGAATGGCCCCTTTGGGAACCTGGGCCCCAGAGGTACCAACTTCCCTACTAGCCGAGAGGGGCTCAATTCCCCACTGCCCCAGGCCCCACACACTGTCCACCTCTTCCCTCAAGCCCTGCCCCTCCTTGGCCTCTTCAAAGTCCATTGAGTGCACCACTGGCCATAGTGAAATCAGTGGTCAAGCACCCCGGGAGTCAGGCGAGGCCTTTATGTAACACACCGATCACTTGATACATCTGTGTTGCGGGCGAGAGGTTTCACTGACATGCATGGGGGACAAACTGGTTCCTACGTGAACTGTGGAGCTCTTCCTAAAAGACTGCCCTGTCCCATCATGCCTTCTGCACCCGCCCCCTATGGACCAAGCAGCAATTACAGAAATACTTCAGCAAGGCTGACTGGATTTTTGGGGGGGGGTTTTGCATCCTTCTTCCTGGAAGCTAAGGACCTTCGTTGCCATGACAGCACTCAGCAGGCAGCCACAAGCCTGCGTCTGCCCCCAATAGTGTTTCTATCCCGAAGGGGCCGGACTTCTAGGTCTGTCCCCTGGGACGGCGCCACTTCTGCGGAGGAGCACTTGAAGGTTGATGAATTTCCACGGAGCTCTGCCAGTGCCATGAGCTGAGCACTGGGCCCTGGAACCACATTGGTTCGTAGAGTCCTTTGACCCAGGTGAAGCCTGGGGAAGCCCCCGTCTTAAAGCCGAGAGGTGGGAGTTCATCCCACAACAGTAACTTTATTGGTTGTCCTACAGGGAACTCTTGCTTCTTTCTGTAATGATCAATGTTCAGTCGTCTTCTGAGACAAGGGGCCCAGCCTTCCACTCCTTGTAAAGAGCTCAGGTAACCATGTGCCTGGGGTGCCCGATGGTGCCGGAGCAGAATTCAGGAATTGGTCCAGTCTCAGGCGCGCCACCGGCTAGAGGATACTAACTTCAGTTCTTTACTTTGCATGAAGAAATGGGCCAAGTTCTCTGCAGGCGTAAGCCCATTAATGTCGATGGAAGTACACTAGTACAGCCCAGATTCAGAGACAAATGAAACGAAAGAAAGCACCGATGTTGGTGTGTGTATTGACAGCAAATTCTGTTGTGCACAGAGTCAAAGGAAAGCCGCATGTCCCCGCTGAGTAAACATCTGGGAGCAGCTGGTCAGACAACTGATCTTGAGACGGCCAAAGACAAGCAGCTTTGGGCCACATTGGCTACACAGAGGTTGAAATTAAAGGGTATTTCCCATCTCGTCTTTGCCATCCCCTCTATATCGAGTAGTTTACAGTCAACTTTTTTTCATCCAACTCTGAACTGTTGCCATCTAAAAGGGAATACCTTCCCGATTCCAAATCTCCCTATCAACCTTTCCAAAACAATGTGGCACAAGGAACACACACTTGGGCCACATTGGCTACACAGAGGTTGAAATTAAAGGGTATTTCCCATCTCGTCTTTGCCATCCCCTCTATATCGAGTAGTTTACAGTCAACTTTTTTTCATCCAACTCTGAACTGTTGCCATCTAAAAGGGAATACCTTCCCGATTCCAAATCTCCCTATCAACCTTTCCAAAACAATGTGGCACAAGGAACACACACAGAGAGCCACTGTTTTGGGGTGATTTGGCTCCTACCCCTGTGAGCGGACCCTGCAGCTGCTCGATCTAAAAACAGCCATGTGGTAAGGCAATCAGGAGACCTGTGTCTCTACCACAGTCCCTCTGGGACCTGTGGCTCAACGCCCCAGCAGTCAAATGGGGATAAGGTTTGCGTAGGCGGCAAGATCTTTTGGGGAAGGGACTCTCCCTTGTTGTGTGTATTTACCATGCTTAGCACATGGGGTGCCTCAGAACACCGCAGTACAACCAATACAAATAGCTAGCCAACCTTATCCCGGGTACTGCGGGAGGCTACCCCTGTGCTCAATGGCTCCTGCCGTCTTGCCGATTTGAACTCCGATGGACCACACAAAATCCACATCCCCTTCCTCTATGCAGGTGATTGGGAGTATGCAGCACTTCAGTAACAGAGCCATCCGCAAAAGCAGGCAGCCTGTTATCCCTGCTCCAGAGATCTTGCAGCCAAAAGGGAGGAGAGAAGGATGGCTGGCCCCGAGGCTGGCCAGAGACCCAGAAAGCTCCATAGAGTTCATTCCAGTGCCGAACGAAATCAAGACCTCTGGAAAAGTTTTGTCAAAACAGGAGAAAGAGGGAGCTTGATAGTTGGCAGGTCCCATCCACAGACTAAAAGACACCCCCCCCCCCTCCTCCCCGCCAACATTTGTGATGTCCTGGGCACTCCGTACCATGGAGAATGATGCTTCTGTGCGTGTCCTTACTGTGCCTGCGTCGGAGCAGGGAATATTCCTCTGGGTCTCTCGTGTCCCAGCTAAGTACCTTTATCATGGCACTGTTGACTTGTCTCTCTCTCTCCCCCAACCCCATTTCCAACCCGTCTGTGGCTGAGACAATTTCAGGTTATCCTACGGTATGGCGAAAAGTTGTGGTTTCAGCAAATTGGCATTACCTGACACTCTCCTCCCCCTCCCCCGAAAAGTGACTGAAGAGTTTCCAACCAGTTGTATTCTCCCTATATTACAATGGGGAAACTGAGGCATTGAGCAGTTAAATGACTTGCCCACAGGCACACAAGAAAGCTGTGGGCAGATTGGTCATGACCCCTGCTTTCCCAAGTCCTGGCTTCTAACTGCAATGCAATGCTTTGCAAAGCCCCTGTACTCTACACATAAAACTCCACCTACATACCTGCCTGCCGGAACATGTTCACTGGTTTTATTTCTTCCTTTCCGTTTTGTTCCTGCTCCCACTGGATGTGCTAATATAGATCTCTACCTTTGCTCCTAGCTACAGATATTCTTGTGAAATGTTAGTAAACAGGCTTTAGAAAAAGAGAGACAGGGAAACAAAATGCCTGCCAAAGGGGAAAGAGCTGATCCAGCCAGGTATTCCCAAGAGGCTAGAATAGCCAGAGAAGGGGACTGAAGGGAAAAAAGGAGGCTATTGAGATGGAGGTCTTTAAACGTTTCCCTTGGAAGCAGCCTCAGCGGCTTTTCCCGCCGCTTTTGAAAGAGCAGTGCAATAAAGATGTCAGTGGTGAAATAGCGCAGCCCATCTTTGCAACACCTTTTCTGTGAGAATCCAGATGACGAACATGTGAAGAGCCAATGAGTATCGCTGTGCTAACGATCGGAACACGGGCGCTGTAGTGTTCGCAGCCCTGGGCTGTCAGTGCAACAAACAGTCATGAGGACAAGTCCACGGTTCGGTTTGGATGGCGTGTGAAATCAGGTGCAATTCACCGGTTGAGGGTCCCATTTTACTTCTGAAATGTGGGGCAGACCCACCAAAACGTTCTCTGGACTTTCCTTGGAGCTAAGCTGCATTGACGGGGGCTCTGTGCAGATCTATCGCTGCAGGGATGAAACCCAGTTGCTTTCTCTGGTTTTACCCTTCAGCGACGCAAAGCTTGGCTGAATTTTCCTTTGACTTGGGAGTGTAGACGGTAAAGCTAGATTCAGGGCATATGAAACCCATGCAAACTGAACCTAAAAATGTGTCTCCTTGAACTCATCAGAATCAAAACCACTGATCTTTTCGCGCAAGTCTGTATCCATACTAGTTTTGTGCAGAAGTACAATCAAGTCAGGAACCAAGTTATAGAACATTTCCATCTACCTAATCGCTCTTTAAAAGATCTCCAGGTGGCTGTCTTGTCACAAACCAATTTTACAAGCCAAATACACCAAGATGCGTTGGAATTGCAATTAATCCATAAATTCAGTTCTCGCACTGATGGCCTCCTCAATCAAGATAACGGATGGCTGGGACATTATCAGCCTAATATTCAATGAAGGTGCCAACAGTTCTTTGTGTAGATTCTTGAGTTAGATAGGAATGGTACTAATTGCTATCCTATGATCCTTATCTGCTTCTTTTAACTATCTAGTCTTTACTTGCTTATAGATGACCAGTTCTGCCTATTTGGTTTTCCCTTTGATATTTTCGTACCCTGTGCTCCTTGTTTCCTGCCCCCCCTTCCATTTTTTTCCCTCCCCCCTCTCCCTTCTCCCCTATTTATTTGGGGTCTGCACATCCTAAACTCAAAACTCTGGTGATCTGAAGAAGTGGGTTGTGCCCACGAACGCTCATGATCCCATCTACATGTTTTGTTAGTCTTTGAAGTGCTACCAGACCATTTGTTGTTTTTTATATTTGTATATCCTGTACAGACTAACTCGGCCACCCCCTGAAGCATTGTTAAAAGCAGTAATACAGACAGGAGTCAGCTCTGTCCCATTAACCAAGTTACAGCCTGGGCTTTCCAAGGCTTAAATCAAGGCTGGGGGTTTGGTTAGGATCCTGTCTCCATTACAGATGTTAACCGTGTTGTAATCAGACCTGGGATTGTCACCAACTTATGTAGTGGGGACTCAGTTCTAACAGCAGTGTAGAAGAAGCACAGTTCAGTTCACAAAAGTCTGAAGTTGGGCCATCACCGTGGTCAAGACAGAGGTGCACAGCAAGGAGTTCTGTAGCATTCGTGCTGCCGCTCCGTCAGGTGCTAGGCAGTGCTGCCAACTTCCATGAGAACTTGAAATTCGTTCTAAGAAAATCCGGGGGAAAGGGGAACACAGGTATTGTTTAAAAAACCCAAACAACCCCTGAAACTGTTTCCAGAGTGAAGCCAGACATCGGTGATTATCCGCTGATTAGCTGTGAGTAAAGCGTCAGGAACAACTCTAGTGTTTGAAGATTTCTCTCTCTCTCTCTCTCACTCTCTCTCTCTCTCTCTCTCTGGTTTCAGTGCACCCCCCCCCCAAAAAAATCCAAAAAGCCATTTTCTTATCACTATGCACCCTGTGTGGACTTTACCCCGTAAGTGATCTTTCAAACCTTGGAAGTATGCCAGGAATACCTCAATTCTTTTTTAATCCTCCACAGTGATAAACTATATTTCCCTGTGCTTTGTCATATTCTGTCTCAGTTATCGGCATGGAGGGAGCGAGAGAAAAATACCGTGCTTTCTCCTCTTCTAACTATGCAACTCTGTGAAGAGCCAAAGAGCCCTGCTCACATTCAAAGTCCTTCTGTTTATATCAAAAATGCTTCAGGCCTTCCAGAGGCAGTGGCTCTCCCCAATTGTCTCTGCAAACTACTGACCTATGGAGGCGCATACGGGCTGTGTCAGTCCTCCAGGCTGAGAAGGAAGGACCCTGGTTTCTCCTAGAGGAGTCTCAGTTCACTGTTTCCTTGTCTGCAGTGTGAGAATTTATTTAGCGGCCTTCCCCACAGTGACCATTGTCTTGCCTTTAATTTCATGCCTGGGGCTTGCCAGGAATAGTGAGCTGTAACAATCAATTTGGGCATAAAAGCCATGGGGCCTGTTCTCTCTGTGAGTGGGGGGGGGCGGGCCGGGCCTGCACTCTCCAGGGACACCCTGGATGCTCCCGTCACTACAGCAGTAGCTGCTAAGGAATTTCGGTGCCTCTCTTGGTGTCGTCATCACCAGCGGGTCCTTAAAACGGCAGCTTTACCCATCCCCTGCAATTCCCGTTTGCAGTTTATACCACCATAAAAACATGAGCATTCCAGACTGCCGAAAGCAGCAAGTGGCTGTTTCAGCTGCATCGTTTTTCCACGAGAGCTGCTGTTTCCCAAAGATAACCAACTGGACCTCTGCATGGCCAGACTGGTGCATTCCAAAGCCACCGGGAGTTCCAGTTAGTCATCTGAAAACCAAACGGTGCAGTCGGACCATGGGACAGCTTGGGTCTGTGCCGATTCAGACCCGCAGTATACTAGGCGGGGGGACGTCAGGAGAGCACTGCTCTGCCCTAAGGAAGGCCAAATGGGAAACAAGCGTATGTCTGTCCTTCCGTCTGTCCGTGAGTCAATTTCCTCGAGAGTGGGAAGCGCTAGGCCCACCGATCAATGTGCTGTCTCTAGGGGCAGCTTACATTCAGGCTCTTACTGTCCTGTGGCTAACCAGAGCCCACCAGTAGGCAGGACTGATTAACCGGTTCCATTCGCTAGCCAAAAAGTCACTTTACAGAGCGAGATGGGCTCTCGCCATGCACAGGAGCTCGTTGATTTATAAGCCAACCCCCAAATGATATGCATTGCAGATAAACGATTTCCCCTTAAAATCTAGCTGCAGAATGACAGGCACACCAGAGGCCTGGCCTTCATTAGCCCGTATAATATCCTTCTATACCTTCAAACATCTGACCCACGCGAACAAGACTTGGTACTTCAAAGCCATTTGACTCATCCCTCATACCACATGAAAGGGAGTAACAGCAGTAGAACCAATACGCCGGTAGGCTGCCTTTGCAAGCTGATTTACATTTTATAGACATATGGTCATGGCAATGAAAGTAACCCCAATTAACTCACTTCTTCTCTGGCAGCGCAGCGTCTTCTCAACTTCTAGCAGAGGCCAGCAGAGCAGGGAAGGAATCGTGTTTACCTTCCCTCCCTCCAAACCCCATGTTGAAGTCTTTTAGACAGGATAGGCAGGTTGGCCAGAAGGTCCGCTGTTGAGAGATGGACGCTAAGCGTGGTTCTGCTATAACACTTTGAGTCCTGACAAAGAAAAAAACCTGACTCTCCTAAAGCCAATGGAGAAGGCAGCTTGCAGGGGGTGGGGCTGCAACAGAAATCATCTGAAAATCACTCAATAGCCTACAGATGTCAATATGTTTTAAGTTACCAACTTTTCTGTCACAACTGTGCCCTTACAGGATTTAGATACCTTTTATAACTCGTTTCCTGTGGGCTCCTCCCACACCACACAATCACAGCCACTGTGACTGGAATGCACCAGAAACGAGAACAATAACCCTTCTTAAACCCGCCTGAGTGGGCGCAAGTGACTGCACTGGCTCGTGGCAGGTTAATTTTTCTATGATTCCCTGAATGTTGAGGGACCTTACATGACGAGGATTATGGAGCCAAAGCCCACGGAACTCAGTGGGAAGATGCTTATCATCGTCACTGGGGCGTGGCTGTGTTGGCGTGGCAGAGCCTTACCAGGAAACTAAGCTCAATGGATGGCTCTCACGGGTAGCTTCATGCGTTGGAATGCAGTTGAATCACATAGGAGCACGATAGTACGGTGCAGTGTTGAAACATCACAGCAGCAGTAGCCTGGGGGTCAACGTGGCAATTTAAAACAGGGACTGTGAAACTAAGACACCCACACAAACAGATGGGTTAAATCTGAAGGCAAGTTGGTAGCCAATTAAGGGCTTGTCTTCACTACACGGAGGATCGATGCTGCAATGATCAATCCATTGGCCATCGATTTAGCGCATCTGCTTAGACACGATAAATCAATCTCTGAGTGCTCTCCCGTTGACTGGGGTACTCCACCAGGAACAAAAGAGTAGCTGAAGTGAACAGGAGAGCAGCCCTCGCTGACTTTACAGCACAGAGGAAACTGCAATAAGTAGGTTGACTTCAGCTATGCTATTCTAATCTATTGCGTAGATTGGATCAGTGGAGGATGGGTTAGTGTAGACAAGGCCTAAAGTAAAAGAGAACATTTGCTTTGATGTTTTGGCTTTAAGAAAGTTGTAACTAATGGAGATTGGTAATTATAGAAACTGACGTTAGGAAGGGAGTTTGGATAATTGAAAACTTCTGCTTTGCTAAATATTTATAACTTGCTTTACTTGACTTCTTTGATGAATGCAATGACTTTAACTTTTTTTAAACTACAGAAATGCATGCAATACATTTATTATGAAGCACAAGTCTTTTACGAGTGTGCAAGATGAAACAGTCCTACTGTAGTTAATGGCAGAGTGGTAGAGTGGTAATGTAGTGTTTATCCTTTTAAACTGGGGATTAGTAAAATATTTAAATTAGGGCTGTTGACTAATTGCAGTTAACTCATGCAATTAGCTCCAAATATTTATTGCAATTAAAAAAATAATTGTGATTAATTGCACTCTTAAGCAATTGAATGCCAAATGAAATTTATTAAATATTTTGGATGCTTTTCTACATTTTCAAATATATTGATTTCTATACAACACAGACTTCAAAGTGTACAGTGCTCACTTTATATTATTTTTATTACAAATATCTGCACTGCAACAATGATAAACAAAAGAAACAGCTTTTTTCAGTTTACCTCTTACAAGTACTGTATGCTGATTATGCCATTGACACCCGCCTCCTTGCTCTTTGTGGCTCCCCATGACCCTGTCATGCTGGGCCAGATCCTCTGGTCTTCCCTCAACAAGGCTCAGAGTTGCCCCCTGCAGAGCACCATAGACACTGAACCATTTCAGCTCGGGAGGATGCAGTTCTAGGGCACAGCACTCAGGAAACCAACACACAAAAAGAGTCAAAACCTCCAAATAAATCTCTCTCTCTGGCTGTGTCTACATTACAGGGTTTTTGCATAAAAACTTGCAGAGCATCCACACCTTAAGCGCGTTTTTGCGCAAGAAAATCTACAGTCAGTCAACAGAAGAGAGGGCTTTTTGCGGTGCGGGTATACCTCCTTCTACAAGGCATAACTCCTTTTTGCGCAAGAGTTCTTGTGCCAAAAGTTGTGTTTCTTGCGCAAAAAGAGCCTATCACAAAAAGCACAAGTGCTCTGATGGCCATTCTGTGAATGGCAATCAGAACTTTCTTGTGCAAGAGTGCCCATGCCGTGTGGACGCTCTCTTGCACAAAAGCACATCACTTTTGTGTTGTGGATGCAGTTTTGCACAAGAAGTTTTTGTGAAAGATCTCTTCCGCAAAAAGCTTCTTGCACAAAAGCCCTGTAGTGTAGACAAAGCCTCTGCGTAAAACTTTACAAAGTGAAAGCTTATTCAGATAAGCCCCCTTTATCAATGAAAGAGAGAGATGCACACTGTTTGTTCCTCCCCAGATAATTATTTATACTTGGCTTGGTAGTAAACAAAACTGATTTTATGAAGTACAAATGGATTTAAATGGTTGCAGTGAAAACAGAGATCAAAGTTACAATATTAAAATGAAAAGAAAATCCATAGCTAGTTCTAATTCGCTAAAACGTACTGCAAACAGATTCTTACCCTAAAAAGCTGTTCTTGTCCTAGCCGTAATCTTCAGATCAGGGACTCTTTTACCCTGACCAGGGTCCCCAAATCTCTTTTTGGGTGTGTCACACCAGCCAAAGACAAAGACCTGATACCTGATAACTTCCCCTTGCTTAACTAATATTCCCCTTGGATGGGAATCCTTTGTTCTCCATTTCCCCTTCCACGGAAAATTACCTGGTCAAAATGGAATCCCAGTACCAGATGTTGTCTTACTAGTCCAATCGCCTTTGGACTTACAGGACAAACAAGACTGTTTATAAGTTGTTACGTTGATCACCCGATTGTTAAGGCTTCCGGGGCATCAGTAATAGCTCTCATTAGCACATTTAAAACTATAAACAGTCTCATACATCATATTTCTAAACTTTACATATAAGAATGATACAGGCACCATAATAGGATTCAGCAAATTGTCACATTAAAATTGATGTCATGTGAAGTATTTTGTCCAAAGTATCTTCGAGTTATGCATATTTATATTCATAGGCCAATTCATATGCAGATTTATAAAGCATTGGAGGGGACCATCATCAACTGTATGGACGCATGTCCTCTGGGATGGTGGTTGAAGCACTGAAGGGACATAACATATTTAGCGTGTATGGTGCACTGATACCTTGTAACGCCGGCTACGACAGTGCTCTGTGAACGCCTGTTCTCCATTTAGGTGACACTGTAAACAAAAAGCAGGCAGCTTTATTGCCTGCAAATGCAAACAAACATTTCTGGCTGAGAGATTGTCTGAACAAGAAATAGGACTGACTGGACTTGTAGGCTATAAAGTCCTACATTGTTTGTTTTATTTTGGAGTGCTGTTATTTTTGTACATAATTCTTCATTTGTAAATGCAACTTTTGTGATAAAGTGCACTACTGTATTGGAATAGGTGAATTGAAAATTCTCTTTGGGATTTTTAAAATAAAAGTATATGTAATCAAACATAAATAGAAAATGAGCACTTTTCACTTTGTATTTGGTGTTGTAATTGAAATCAACATATTCAAATATTTAAATAAATGATATTATATTTTTATTGGCATGATTAATTTTTTTTTATGCACCCAGAGCATCAGCCAGTGGATACCAGCATAGCTCCGTAGACTTTAGCCACTCAGGAGCAATTGACTGCAGATATGGGAAGGGTTTGGGGCAACACAAGGACCATAAAACCCCATCCCCTAATAAACCTGAATTAAACCTCTCTATTACTAGCTGCTCCATCATGGCTTTGCCAGGAGCCCTGTGTAAGCAGCATTGGCTTCAGGATACTGTCCCAGAAGATGGTCATGACTCAGTTTCCCCTCTGTAGGCCCAATGGAGTAAGGCAATGAGCTTTGCCCTGGCTCCATACATGGTGCGAATGTCCCTCACTGCACTGGTGTGTCCAACTCCCTCCCCACTTCTGTGGACTCCGTAGGCTTCCGTACCCCCTTGGAATGTAGCTTATACAGGCCCTGACCTGGCCCTAGATTTAGTCTTGTGAGTAGTACATATATCGCTCTGACTTGATGCTACTCATTTAAATAATTGTCATTTAATTTCTATTTCCCTTTTATAAAAGCTTTTCATTAGCTCTTCTCTATAGCTTCTCTGGGCAATTGCTTTAAAAAAAACAGATGAAGGGGTCACTCAATTATTAAAACTGAAGGAGAGCGCAGCATCAGCCAAGGGAATCATGGCTGGAAATCAACGTCTGTGTTCCCCTGGAAGCTTTCAAACTGTCGTGGGAAGAATCGCATGGAGCAAGTGCCCTGAACATTACCTCACCCTGGTATGCCTGGTATGACGCTCTGGGAGAGCATCGTGCCTAAGTCATACGTCACCCTGGTACCTTTGCTTCCACTGACGAAACAATTCATCAGTGACAATACCTATCAGAGGCACTAGGATTCGTCCCGTCCTTCTTTTCTCCTTGCGCACCAGCGACAATCTCGATTGCTTGGACAGTGTCTTGTTCCTTCCTGGGGAAACTGTCCAAGCCATTGTGTGTAGGCTTTGCATTTTGGAAGGCTACACAATTTTGTAGCGCGGCTTGAGAGGGTCACAGGCTCATTAGAGAGCATGCAAACATTTCAGCAAGGAGCCATTGGGAAGGGCATGGCTTCTCTCCTGCAGCAGAGCTATAGTGTTGCTGCCATATCACTGTCGCATACATGCTTCTTCCCGCCACACAATGGCTTTTTCCAGTGGTGGAGTTAATCCCAGTGGGTGTGCGCGTTATACCCGCACCTTCTCCAAGGGGGCAGTGCCACCGTCCCCAAATGAGAGTGCTGCAGAACCGCCTTTCTCTATTAACCAGCTTTATTTGGTGGCCATATCCCCAGTTTCACTGCAGACCTCTCCTCTTGGATCCCCGCTCTAACCTGATCTTTCAGAGCAATTTTGTAGCCTCCAAGGACCACCCGGCACCGGAGAAGAACCCAGCACATTCACACCAGAAGGAGACATAAAAACACATCAAAGTGCCGTATACATCACAGCAAGTCAGCTCCTCACGGGAGTGAGGTCAAAGTAAGGCCAGCCAGAGCATGAGACGATGGCAGGACAGTACTGTTGTAACATGCCTATTTCTGATGAGGTGAGGGACTGTCATTTGCATGTTGTAGCCAGAAAAGGACCCATGGCTTGAGTATGTACAAATCCAATCTACGGCCATGTTGCTAAAACCCCAAACGAGTTACAAGAAGTGGTAACAGAGGTAGTGTCATAACAAATAGCCTTATGCAAATATGCAAATGGGATCTATTTCAAATCTGCACAGAGAGGGGATTGGCACCTGGTTTCATCTGCTCACTCATTTCGTCCAGCAGACTGCCCCAGCAAACTGGCCTCAAAGCAGCTGGTTGCCTTCTAGCTCTGTTCATGAAGTAAAAATTGTTTGATAGCTTCTGGGACGGGAAGATCCTGGATCAGATCCAGATGGTGTTTGCCAAGTATCTGCCTCACGGCCACGCGGCACAGAGACAGCAAGCTCCGGGGGCAACCTGCAGCCAAAGCAACAAAGGGGAAGAGAGAAAGGGATAAACCAGCAGATGTGAATTGCCGGGGCCAGATCTCCCGCTGGTGTAAACTGCCGTAGTGTAACCGCTTCAGTGGGGCTTTGCTGATTTACGCCTCTGGGGACCAGCTCCCTCCCCTCCCCTTTGTCCTGCACCTCAATAAACAGTCACTGCTCCTTCTGGCAGTGATGAGGGGGTGCCCTTTGCAGTACCCCCTGCACAGCAGGTGCAGCAGAGATGGATCCTCCAAGGTGATAAAGCGGTGTGACTCCAGCAAAGTCTGCGGAGCGATGCCAGTTTACACCCTGTTTGCACGGGGAAATTTTGACAATTTGCACCCTATTTACAGGGGGAAATGTCACCAATTTACACCCCATTTACACAGGGAAATTTTGACAATTTACTCCCTGTTTATGGGGAGAGATTTTGCCAATTTACACCCCATTTCCAAGGGGAAATTTCCAGCTCCCCTGAATGCTTAGCACCCCTCAAGTCAGCCTGGGTCTAAGCTACCCACATGTTTTGTTTGCATGAACCATCCCCCAATGCAAAGAGCAGTTAACACGGGGTGCAGCTGGGAACCCTGCTGTTGGCCTTTCCGCAAGGGAGCCCTGCAAACTGGCCCCCTTCCCTGGCCTCTCCTAGCACACGAGCTCAGCACGGTGCCCTGCCCTCTGCCTGCCCCACAGGGGTTGCAGGGCATCACCCAGGGCAGGGAGCTGCCCTTCCACTCTCTCACCTGTGGGCGTCTCCGCTCCAACCTGGGGAAGGAATGTGCAGCCCAGAAAAGCTTCCCTGGAGCCTGAATCCGGCCTGGAGAACTCCCTCCCCACCAGGCCAGCTTGCAGAGTGTCTGGGGCTCCTGCTGGGTTGAAGCCCAGGTGCAGCCTGGGGCTTTGTTCCTCACCCGTTAGTGGCTGCGTTTCTAGAGGGCCCTGTCTTCTCTTCCCCCAGGGCCACGCGCTGGCTCCGCCCACCCTGCTCCCACTCCCCGGGACAGAACCACAGCTTGGGGTTGGGCCTAGGGCGCTGGACTCCAGCTATGGGCACGACAGCCAGAGAGAGGCCGTTTGCGGTGCTTGTCAGTGCTAGCAGACCAATGCCGAGGACTTGGCCACTTACTCCTGGCTTCTTTGAACACCTGCAGGGCTTCTGGGTTGACTTTGACCCTTCCTGCCGACTCGGCCCCCAGGACCTCCACCTTCACCAGGTTCAAGTTGGCTCCAAAGTCAATCAAGAGCTGGACAAAGGCCGGCTCGCAGCCGTGCCTCAAGACCGCCTCCATCACGCAGACCGGGGAGCCCCGGGAGAAGCCCTGGATGTTGACGGGCCCGCAGCAGTTGAAGTCGGGGTTGGCGCCGGCCTGCAGCAGCAGCCTGAAGCACGGGAGGTTGTGGTAGGCGGCGCTGATGTACAGAGGGCAGACCACCAGGGAAGTGAGCGGGCGCGAGGAGGGGCTGGCGAGCCGCGAGGGCACGTGGTGGTTGACATCCACGTCTGCGCCGTACCTGTGCATGAAAACACAAAAGCCGTCGTGGGCAGCCAGCGGTGGGCGGGTGCAGGGCCTCTGGAGGGAAACGCTTGAAAGCAACAGCACAGCTGCTGCCGGGCTCTGGGGCTTACGTGGGTGATCCCTGGGCAGGCAGGAGCGCGCCCCCTCCTCCCTGCAGGCGGACACGATTTACTAGCCATGCAGGGTAGGGACGGGAACGTGTACCCATGCACCCTGTTCACTGGTGAGCCTGGGCAGGCGGGAATTTGGCAGGGGCCTAGAGAGGACTCTGCCCTGTGGACGATTCATGAATTGCAGGGAGAGACCAGGCAGCATGTGCAAAATGGTGGTTTAAATTACAGGGTCTCCTCTCAGCCCCTGAACGTCAGGGTATTCAGGATTGCCCGCTGACCCTCCCAGCCCTGCCCTGGCATGCTGCAGCCAACTGCCTTGCGGAGCTGAGCTCTGTGTGTGACGCTATTCTCTCCACGGCTCACCCTGAGTGAGCTACGGCCACTCCAGGAGGTGTTGCTCCCTAGGGTCAGGAGAGCGGAGACGTGACTTAGAGACACTTTCCTCTCCCTTCTGCAACACCCGGGCTCAGCGTCATCCTGCCGCAGCTGAATACTTTGCCCAGCGTGGCCTGTGCATAAAGCCCAGCACTCTCGGCTCAGTGGGGGATGTGCCAATCACTTAGCGCCTCAGGGAACGGGGGCCGGAGAGACACTAAAGCAACATCCCTGCCAGGAGATGTGTAGGTAATGCCTTCGAGCAGCCGCTCCGACGCATGCAAGCAAGGAAGGAAACGAAAACGCCAGTCTGTGCAAAACGGAGGCATGTCACCAGTTATTCAGTGGGAACCTGAAGAGGGGGAATCCAGTAAGCCTGTCAGATGCAAGAGTTTTCCCGAGACGCAGCAGTTTATGCCGAATAGGCACACCACATTCCAAGCTCCTCGCGAGTTGGGAACACATAAAATAATTATGTCGGTCAGGCTGCCGTCCCCTGAGAACCATCTGTATTGTATTACCTAGACTTAAATGTTATGAGCTATTGAATTGGAGATTACATTTCACATCGATTCACATAGCTGGGATTTTTTGTTCTGGTTTGACAGCTGCCATCTTGGCCAATTCACTAGGGTTGGACAATGGGACCTTCCAAGTGAATAACACAAGCTACTACTGCGTGGGCTCAGCTGCCAACGTTTTCTCGGGAGGGCTGTGCCCGACTCGCATCCTGTGGATCAGAAAGCGAGTGTGACCCAGAGCACCCGCTTGCTATGCAAATGGCTGATTTTTCGGTTCACCAGCTACGCCCCTGCAGTTTTTAAGTGATCATTTGGATTCAATGTTTTCAATTTTTCAGCAAGCTGAGTAATAGTACAGTCACTTTTGGTTAAACAACCCAAACCAAAATGTTGTTTAGTTTAAGGGTTTTTAAAACCCGTTTTAAAGTAAAATACAAAATCATTTAGAATCGAACGGATTGGTTTAGAAATGTTCGAAGTTTTTATTATTTCGGGGGGGGGGAGGGGGGTTCCTGTTTGTGTTTGACCAAACCAATTTGGTGAATTTGACACTAACTCTCAAAACATCTCAACTTTCCAAAGGAAGGTTTTCTACCAAAACCTTCCATCCATCTTCAGGCATGGTGGTACACTGCATTATGATTTAACGGGCAGATTTCAAAGGATCAGATAATCTAATACAGAGCGCTTTTGAAAATCAAACCCAGAGTGTTTAGAATCTATGTTGTGATGCTCTAGATACTTATTTGATTGTACAAGGTAGAGAACTCTTTCACTTGTGTAGCCTGTGGATCAAATATGGAATGAACATAAAATATGAAGGGTGGGGGTTTTTCCTGTTAGAAAAAACTGCTGGAGAATAAGAATAACACAAAGAATATTTACTCCCTTTACAAATATTTAATTTGAAACACTTTAACACTGCATATAACAGTAGCAATGTGTGCTCTATACAGCATTGTCCACAGCCAATATTGTAGGGAGCACATGCTTTTGCAAATAAATGTTGCCATAAATGTTAAAATATGGGGGAAGACTGATCCAGCCTCCTTTTGTCATGTTGAGTTGTTCCTCTGCAACATCCAAGGAGGGATGGAGTAGAAGTGTTATGCTGTCCCTTTGGAGTAATAAAATGCTCTTCCAATCAGCGATCACTCTTGGATTTGTAATCCAGGCACTCGGAAAAGGGGCTTTTCTGCTTTCCTGGATATTTCCCGTTATTAAAATGTTTTGGGCCAAATTCTGTCTTGAACTTGATGAAGTTTCACTAAAGCCAGTGGGTTTCTGGCCCTGCTGCTGTAAATGCTTAGCCATGTGCTTTAAATCTAAAGAGGGGAGGAGTCCCACTACAGTCTGTTTGCAAGATCAGGGGCATTCAAGCACAACTAAGTGCTGAATTTGGCTCTTTCATGCGTTGTGATCCATGCTCCTCTCCACCTGGCACAGACACAGAGCTCTCAGAGGATGACAGGGGGTGGCTGCGGGCCTGACTGGAGAGGACAGGACGCTCCGTGATAGCTTTCCCAAAGGCACGCTGCCAAGGGGTCCCTGTCTCTTCCATAATCACAGCACGTTAGCCCAGCTTGACTTAGCCAAGACATAAGCCTCAGGGAGCAACAGCTCTCTAGATGTTCCTCTCTCCGACAGGGGTTCAGTGCTCTCTGCTGAATGAAGACCAAATTGCATGTAATGGCTTTGGCCTAGAAAGTTTACGTTTAAATCGGGTTTCTCGGAAAGTGGCCAGGCAGTGGGACGCATCCCATGAGTAAGGGCTGCAGGAGTGAGGTTCGGTGGTAGGATGGGTCAAAAATTCTCCCGTGAAGTGGGTTCTCAGCAGAAAATTGAGGGTTCAATTAACAGAAATTTTTTGCAAAAAAATCTCTGTGTTCTACAGAAGCGTTTGTTTTTTGCCAAAAACCCACCTGGCTGAAAACCAAAACTCTTCCGGTCAAACCCAGAAATATTTCCGTTTGGATTTGCTGTCACAGTGCCCCTTCGCAGCTGGAGTTCGGCTTGCTCATGCCCTGTTTTCTTCTATAGGCCAGAAACCCTGCCAGATTACATCTCCCAGGATGCACCAGGACCAGAGTTTCCCATAATGCACCGCGCTAAGGGAAGGGCACAATTTTTCGTGAGAGTGTCATTTTCTGACCAGCTCTGCAAAGGTACGCTTTTAAAACCAAAATGAATCTCGCTTTTCAAAAAGTTTGTAGGTGCGGATACAGTTCCCCATGACTTTGTCAGTTTTACACTGCTCTTAATGGAATAAGCAGAATATACATCTCCTAATATCCTGGCTCTGCCCTCGATTAGACTAGAAGCATGATGCTATATTCCCATCACAGGATGATTATGTAACAGGCTGTTAGGAAAATGATCTATCCGCCAGCTGTATAATTGTCAATATTTCCACCGGAGTCTGACTGTTAAATGGATCACTGTCCCCCAGCTAGGTGTGTGTTTACTATTAGTGGCTAAAAATGACGTCTCATGTCCTATCAGCTTCTGCTTTTTCCTTGGTATTCTGGTTCAGCAATTGTCGCAGATCACAGGACTTCAGGAATTGTAATTGTGCTAGCCTATGATTTCAAAAACCAAAACCAGCAGAATCAGTAGCAACAAACTCAGGAAGATTCTTGTCCACTGATAATGAATTGGGAATGGTTGGGCTTGGGGTTTTCTGAAGCGTATTGAAATGCATAATTACATCTCAGTAAAATGTCATTTTACTACATTTACGCTGTCCAGGAAAGCAGTAACTTAGAGCAATATTTTTACCCTTCCACTGAGCTGAGTATAAGGGGATTATGTTTTAAAGTAAGCAATTCTGAATAAGTGTATGAAATCTCTATTCCAAGAGACTTGAAAATGTTGGGCAAAATGACAATTTGGTATTAACTCTGCAGCCCGGGAGAAACACCGCCTAATAAAAAGATATTGGACAAACTCCAGTTAATTTCTAATCCTGAACGTTTTCCAAACTCTGGTTTTTAATATTGCTGGCAAGGCGTCTTTAGGGTTAGACGTATAAATCAATATATCAAGTCCCTGTGCTGAAATATCATTTGCTGTGTTTTGTACGGTGCTAGCAAACCTGGGGGGGAGATTCCTAGGAATGTGGCGAGTGGGGTTATACGGACATGTCCACGTGCAGCGGAGGAGAAAGTCCAAGTTCATAGGGGCTCAGTGCACTGCATTCAGAGGCTCTCAGCCCGCTCGTTTGAGGGGTTAAGCCAGCCTCTAAGCGCTGGGGAGCAGAGGGAACTCCGCGGCAGCCTAGTCTGGGGTTTCCTGCACCTTGCTCAGAAGCAGCTGGGATTGGCCACCACTGGAGCCAGGATATTGGACAAGAACAGCCCAGAGATCTTTTGCCCTAATGACACCAGTGGGCTCCCAAACCCCCTTCACTGCAGAGTTAACTCAGGTATTGCTCTCCTAAGAGCGGCCAGGCAGGGTCAGATCAAAGGCCCATCCAGCCAGTGTCCTGTCTTCTGACAGCGGCCAGTGCCAGGTGCCCCAGAGGGAGCGAACAGAACAGGGAATCATCACATGATCCCTCCCCTGTCTCCCATTCCCAGCCTCTGACAAACAGAGGCTAGGGACACCATTTCTACCCATCCTGGCTAATAGCCATTGATGGACCCATCCTTCATGAATGTAAGTACCAGTAGTTCTTTTTTGAACCCTGTTAAAGGTTCAACATCCTCTGGCAAGGAGTTCCACAGGTTGACTGTTCTGCATAAAGAAAGCCTTCCTTTTGTTTGTTTTAAACCTGCTGCCTATTAATTTCATTTGGTGACTGCTAGTTTGTATGTGACGGGAACAAGTACATAATGTTTCCTTATTCACTTTTTCCACACCTGTCATGATTTTCCCCCCCCCCCCCCTTAGTCTCCTCTTTTCCAAGCTGAAAAGTCCCAGGCTTGTTAATCTCTCCTCATATGGGACCCGTTCCAAACCCCTCAGCATGGTGGTTGCTCTTTTCTGACCTTTTGTCAATGCTTTTTCCAAGGCTCCCCACCCCTCTTTCCTGACACATACAGACCCCTTCAGCACAGACTAGGGGTCTTGCCCTGGAGCTACAGGGCTCAACCAGCCCGCAGGAGGCTCTCCCTGGGGTTATACCCAACCCGCTTTGCCGGGAAAGGGCGGGCGATGTTCGGTAAGTGCTGATAGCCCCCCTGTGCCCTCCCATGCATCCCTTCGCCTGGCCAGAGGAATAGAGATGTTCTCTCTCAAGTCACGGGAAAATCAGAACGGCTCATCCGAGGGCGGCTCAACGAGCCCAGAGCCCATCCCTAACGCCCCCGTTATGCTCAATTTACGGGTTGCAAAGGCAGATCCCATGTCCTTGGCAAGCACCGAGCACCTACATGTCAGCAGGAGCTCCTGGGGACGCCTTGGACAATCCGACCGCTCCTGCAGGGGTCTGAATTCAGGCTACGGGGCCTAACCAAGGGGCCTGGGCATGGACAGTTTGGGCCTAGTGCGTTGGGCCTAGAATTGTCTGGCAAAATCGAAGGCCTTCATCCATCATTCTTAGGTGAGCTGGTTTTCTTACTGAAACGCTTTGCACATGGGCCAGCAGTTTAACTTGGTTTTGCTGAGCTTACAAAAGAAACTTCCAGCTCCCCCCGGAAACAGGTGTCAGTAGCTAATTTCTCAGCTGACACGCTGTTCTGCAACGTTCTGTGCCAGCACTTTGCATTCGATCTGGTCGCAAACTAGCTGTCAGACCAGCATCTGTGTTGGGAAACGTGTGAGTCTCAGCTACGCACCTGCTCGGAGCACCCGGTGCAAACCGCCTGTTGAAATCTCGTCTCAGACGCAGGTGGGACTTGACCCAGGGGGACCAAACCGCTGAGCCCTGGGGGTGCTGGAGGCCAGTGGCAAGCCAAAGAAAGAAGGGGAAGCGCTTTGAAGGCCGGGAGGTGAAGTTCAAATGTAGTGTGACGACAGGTGGGGGGGATCATGCTGCAGTTGCAGCAGAAGGGAGGCAAAGGGGTAGATGAGGGGAGAGGACCGCTGTAGTGTGCTCCATGAGTTTGAGGATAAGTGGGGGAGGGCGACAGGCAGGGAGGACTTAGGGGGAGTGTGCGGGGAGAGGCCGTGTTTCCATAGTGAGGGGAAGGACCCAGGGGGAGTTGAGGGGCGGTGAAGGAGAGAGGAGAGGTTAGGAGACAGGTCACTCTCTTTCCTCCCTGGCTGGGGCAGCAGCCCCCATACTGCCCCATGCGGGGGAGTTTCGGTACTTGCCTTATCAGCTCCCTGAGGATGTCAGCCCGGCCCACGCGGGAGGTGTGGTAAACCGGGGTGCTGCGATGGTGATGGCTCCCGTTGGGGTCGGCGCCGGCTTCCAGCAGGATTTGGGCGCATTCCAGGTGCCCGTTCACCACGGCCACGTAGAGGGCCGTCTGCCCCTTCACGTCCACCAGGTCGATCTCCGCCCCTTTCTGGAGGAGGAAATCCACGCAGTGGCCATGGCCGGCAGTGGCCGCGATGCGCAGCGGGGTGCAGGGCAGCCAGCCGCAGCACCACACCGACTTCTCGTTGATTCGGCTGAGCGAGGGGGGGAGAGAGCAGAGTCAGCTGTGAGTGTGCCCAGCTTCTGCCAGGAGACAGACCCGCCTCCCCCAGGCCTGGAAGGCACACCATGGGCAAGCCAGAGGGACGGCTTATCCCCTGGTCTCTGGAAGATTCACCTTTACTATGGTCCCCCTTGCTGGCCCCCGCGCAAGGTAGGCACACATGGCAAGGGGCAGCCAATGACAGAGGCGCTTACACCTGGAGCAGACTAAGGAAGGACTGTTAGCCTCATCGTACTGATGGGGAGGCGAGGCGCAGGGCGGAGATGTGGCCACCAGAGCTGGGAGCTGAAGACAGATCTGACAACTTCACACTCTACCCTCATGCGCTCCATGCCGCTGGAACAAGGAGCACAGATCTGCCTCAACAACGTGGATTTTGCATGTCTGCTTGGAATCCCAGAGTCCTAGGGCGGGCAGAGACCTCAGGAGCCATCGAGTCCAGCCCCCTGCCCGAAGCAGGACCAATCCCAGCTCAATCGTCCCAGCCAGGGCTTGCTCAAGCCAGGACTTAAACACCTCTAGGGATGGAGACTCCCCCCCCTCCCTAGGGAACCCAGCCCAGCGCTTCCCACCCGCCTAGTATTTAAGAACATAAGAACATACGAACGGCCATACTGGGTCAGACCAAAGGTCCATCTAGCCCAGTCTCCTGTCTGCCGACAGTGGCCAGCACCAGGTGCCCCAGAGAGGGTGGACCGAAGACAATGATCAAGCGATTTGTCTCCTGCCATCCTTCTCCAGCCTCTGACAAACAGAGGCCAGGGACACCAATTCTATCCCCTGGCTAATAGCCTTTTA